CGCCACTATAAGGGTAGAAGTTAGGGGGGGACCAATAGCTTGGACAATCAGTGTCACCAGACACCGCTAACAAAATTTAACTTTCATTATAAAAGATATTTTTGAGGGGCTGTTTTTGTTTTGTTGTTGTTTTGTTTTTTTTTTAATTCTTGGTGTATTTTAGGGAGCTTTTTGTTTATCAATACACAAAAAGGGGGGGGGGAGGTGCTGGCCAGTCTAGTCCTCAATCTTCCTGCTCCTACTAATATATCCTGATTCCCTTATAGGCAGTCACTGCTTCTCCATATTCTAACCATGTCTTAGTCAACCTCATTACGGCCACAAGTGGAAGCCAATTACCATAGAACACAGTGATTGCTCAGAGAAAGGCACAGCCCATTCTGGAGCACTGAGGTGCAGGCCCATCACTCTTTACTCCCGATTTCTAACTAATCCAGGACACTGTTGGCAGTCATCCTGTAGCTACGAAGGAAAACCTGGCGTTGATATGGTGGCAACACAGCAAACCCTACTCATTTCTTTGACCCGGAATCAAGGCACACACAACACTAATTTTACAAAGAATATTCATTACATTAGCAAACAGATCTCCTTTGTGATTTAAAACAGAAGGTGTAAGGCTGGGCATGGTGGCACACACCAGGACCAGAGGCAGGCAGATCTCTGTGAGCTCAAAGCCAATCTAGTTGACATGGTGAATTCTATGCCAGCCAAGTCTCTGTAATGAGACCCTGCCTCAAAACAAATAAGCAGTTTAATGTGCTTTTCTATAACTTGTAACTAACAGTTACCTAAAAGTTAACATGAAGTCAGGCAGTGGTGGCGCACACCTTTAATCCCAGCACTCAGGAGGCAGACGCAGAGGGATCTCTGTGAGTTCGAGGCCAGCCTGGTCTACAGATCAAGTTCCAGGGCAGCAAGGACTACACAGAGAAGCCCTGCCTTGAAAACCTAAGGAAAGAAAAAGTTAACATGAAAGTGGAGAATTTCCTAGGATAGAGACACTAACTCCAGAAATGCTAACCATTATTCTGAATACATAGAAGTGTGAGATCTCTAAACTGACTCCTATTTCCTGCCCCTAGACAAAAGGAATGCAGTATTTGAGGCCAGTGAAAGTATAATAAAACTGTCTTTAAGAAACACAGAGACTTTTTAAAGGTCTCCATTTTGCCTTTTTGCCTACTCTGGCCAAATTACATGTTTACTTCTAATTGAACTGATACTGTGCTCAGATTTCATTTAGGAAATCCCCAAATGCTTCAAATTCCATTATTTTTTATGATACATAATACAGTCGAACAGAATAGTGACCAAGACCCATCAAAAGCAATATGAAAACTCACATGCAACACTTTATCTGAGTATCAATCAAGCTTCATATTCCAACTTCTTTATGACCCAAATCTCTCTCCCTCTCCCTTGGTTAACACACACACACACACACACACACACACACACACACCCCTGAGCATGGGCTCTTGGGTACCAGGATGAAAAAAGACTGGAAAAGTACAGAGCAGGTCATCTTTCCATGTCATTATCCTACCCAGGGCAGAGATCTAAGAGTATGGAGTATCCAAAGTTATGAGCAATAAAAAAGTTACGGGGCTCTTCTAGAAAAGTGCAAACCTTCCTCTCAGCACAGAGTACATACATTAGGACACATAACTAGAATATTTTAACTATTATTACATATGAAAGGGCAAAAAGAGTTTGTCTTTCATGAAATCTGGGCTGCACATGTCTGGCAAAGAAAAAAGAGATTAATCTATCGCAAAGTCCCACAACTAGTGATCTAAAAAAAATGAAAGCTCTCACTACTTACACCACATGTAAAAACAAGTATACATGTTTCGTATAATCCCTTGATCTGCAGAGAAAGAGAAGTGATAGTGTACTGTGAAAATGGTCACTGGGCAGACATTTAAAATCCTTTCCCACATGAAAAGATTCCTGAAAAAGAGATCACAAAACAAGAAGAAGCACTCAAAATATAAGAAGTCGTGAATCCAGTATGAACTGTATCTATTACACAAAGAAAAAGCATGCAACAAAGTCACTGGGAAAGACAAACAAGAATTAGACCAGTAACACACAGGCAGATATAAACCCCCAGAAAAGCACATTATGGAACACAAGCCCAAATATATCAAAAGACACCTATTATCAGCAATAACAGCAAGACGAATTAAATCATGATAAGAATTCGGTATGCTTTAAAAAAATGTTTGAAGAAGCCCATAATTACTATCAATATAGTAAATAGATTTTAAATGCTATAAATCAAATGTTCAAATCGAAGCTGCTAGAAACAAGGCAAAATCCTAAGACTAGTGTAATCCATTTGAATAGCCAGTGCCTGATTTTACTGAAGAAACTCTCCCTACTGTAACTTGTTTACTTCTTTAATTAACAGTGATTCAAAGGGCTAATAGTGAGTGCTACAACTCTGTCCTCCGGCCTGCAGTCCTCTGCACATCTCTACCAAAATCCATCTGATCTAGAAGAGATGACATGATGCACACAAGCAGGCTGTGGTGGGAAGGGGCTGCTCTCACCAGTCACTTAAGCAGTCTTAAGTCACTGGTGTAGACACAGAAACAAAGTCACAAAGACATGAAAACACTTCCCCATGTTCACGGTAATTACCTAGGGGTTCACAGATCAGGCTAAAAGCTTGGTACTTTCTGTCCCCAAAACCTACTTTTACTTCTTTTTTGACTCCACTTTCCTTTTGGAAAAAGGATTAACAACAGTTCTTCTAGTTGTTGAGTCTTCTTATGACAATTAAATCCTAGTATTTCACATAATATAAAATATTCAGAAGAGTACCCGGCACATTACAAGTACAATGTACTCTGTTTCTACAGTATCTCCCAAAAGTCTGACAGTGAGCTTCCAACAGACAACTATAAACATTTTAAACCCACAGAATTTACCACGCAGGATGGCCTTGATGTATCCTTCGAAATTTTAAAGATACAGTGATCGAAGAAACCTGGACTTTCTAATTGTTTCCTTTACAAAATAACAAATCCACCACAAGCCCCCAGGGAAAACATACATATCCAGAGCCCCATTCTCCTAAACCAGACTAGTATCACAGAAACAGTTCATCCCAGTAAAGAAGGATTCTAAAATGTCCTTTAATAGAACAAACTAAATGTTACCTGTGTTTTAAGACACAAAATTTACCTGGTAATTATCATCTGTACAGCTGGATACTGGGCACTTTCACAGATTTCTTTTTTTTGTTTGTTTGTTTTGTTTTGATTTTTGAACAGGGTTTCTCTGTAGCTTTGGAGTCTGTCCTGGAACTTGATCTATAGACCAGGCTGGCCTTGAACCCACAGAGAGCCTCTGGTTATCAAGTGCTGGGATTAAAGGAATGCACCACCACCTACCTACATGTGACAAATTTCAACTAGAGGACAACTAAGTTATGGAGACGGAAAACCCCAAAGGGATCACTGGTCCAAGAACCAGTAGTCTCCACCATGTAACTTCTGATTCTCATTTTCTGCCTCAACTTTTGTGCAGACCCTTCTATTGAAATTTCTCAAAGGCTGAGAACTGCTAGAAAGATCTAAAATGCATACATATTCAACTGTAATAGATTAACAAATTACTCTGCAAAATACTTCTTTTTGGGCTGGAGACTCGGTTGCTGCTCTTCCAGAGGACCTGGATTCAGTTCCTGGCAACCACTTGATAGCTAACAACTAATTGTAACTCTAGTTCCAAGAAAACAAGCTTCCTCTTCTGGTCTACATGGGTACTCACACGGTATACTACATACATAATACGTGCAAGCAAAACACCCATATACATTTAAAAAAATAATAAACAGGTCTTTTTAAATGATATTCGTTTAATGTTTCCTGAGTTTAAAAGTATAAAAGTAGATAGAATATGCATATAGCAACTAAAGTAGGATAGATTAACTAACACTGACTCTAATACAAAAACAATTCTGAATTTATTTAGCTGCTTGTCTCCCCTCTGAAACTCCATAAAGTGAGCATGGGAGAAATAGACAGAGGCGATGAGAATCAAGAGGAGGGGAAAGGGAGAGGAGAACAAGGAAGGAGGGGAGAGGGCAATGGGGGTAGGGGGAAGAGAAAGAAAGTGAGAGGAAAGGAGGGAGAGGAAGTGGGGGACAGAGGAAGGTATGAAGGGAGGAAACGGGATGATTCAGAAAGCAAAACACAGCTTGAAAAAAGAAAATGATTCTCAAAGCAATTTGAAAACCATTTGCACTCATGTATCAGCATCACTGTGTTATGGGAGTGGAGTAATAAAAATAAATCCTTGCAAATGAAAATCTAAGTGCTGACAATCACAAGTCTCAGATAATAAAGTACAACAAACCACCACTCTCGTGTCCTTCTAACAAAGGTAAGTGACAGCTACAGACACCTACATGTGTGTGCGTGGTGTGTGTGTGTGTGTGTATGTGTGTGTGTGCGTGTGTGTGCGTGTGTGTGTGAGAAGATACATATCTATTCTATACATGTACACATCATCTAATGAACAAAACAGGAAAATTACCAAGGATACATTTCCAAAGGTGAAGAAACAGTGTTCACGCTGAATTTACTGTACCCTAAGCATAACTAATAAAAAGGATTTAAATTAAGCCCAGCCTTCTACTCTTATATACTTTGTTCCTTGTGAAATACCAGAAACATAAGGATAATAAGAAAAGCCCCAAAATTCCCAGGGGCAGTGAGACGCACAATAAGTGAGACACTGACAGACACTATATCATACCAACAATGTCAGATGCTAGAAGATAACAGATTGAAGTCTCACAATTTAAGAGAAAAATACCTTTTATGTAAAATCCTGCATAGGCTAATGACCAAACAAATTAAAGATAGTTCCAGATATACAAGAACTCAAATAATGAACCTCTTATCTCACAGAGAAGATATTGTGATTAGAATAAAAAGCAAGGGGAAACAGGAAATAGGTAAGAAAATGGTGGCACTGACCCAGGAATCCAGTGGAAAGAAAGCCCAAGGTTGCAGCTGTACAGCAGACCTAAAAGGCAACGAGTCTACATTAGAACAGGAAATCGAGAGGCTCCAAGAAAGACTCCTCAGGAAAGTACACATACATTTTGAGAAACAGATACAGTGAGGAGCAAACAGGAAGACATTAGAAAACCACTGCTCTCTGGTCACCATGGGAAGACAAGCAGGAAAATCTCCAGCAAAAACATAACAATACCATGGACTCATCAAATATGGCAATCATCCTAAGGAACTGATTAAGAGACAGAAAATCCATCTAAACCAGATGCCGAGACCATTCTCCTTTGGTGAGCTAGGGGTTACACTGGCCTGTAGGGACAGGAATGGAATTTTAATGCCCTCATTTCCTCTCCTAAGCTACTTTCTTCTACCCCTCTAGTCTGATCCATTCATTCTTTAAGTCTCTGATGCTTTAAGTATTTACTGAGCATCCTACTTGCTAGGCACTATTCAGAAGCTAGAGATAAAACAATGAACAAAATAAGCCACAAAGTGTGCCCCGTGGAAAAGATTCCATGATTATTATTCTTGAGAATCAGCTAAGCAACTATTCCTTTCTGAACTGGATCAGGCTAAACATTTTTCCTGCTCTTTAAGAACACTTAGTTCTTTACAAAACTCTTTTATCGTTTTACATTACCACTTAAGATGTAAAGAATATAAAAACTGGGCAGTCTATGGGGCCTATGGTTGTGGATCAATATTTATCCCCAGTATACGAATGGACTTTGGGAGCCCATCCCACATAGAGTGATATTCTCTCATCCTAGACACACAGGGGAGGGCCTAGACCCTGCCACAAATGATATGACAGACTTTGAAGACTCCCCATGGAAGGTCACACCCTCCCTGGAGAGCAGAAAAGGGATTGAATAGGGGTTGGGGGAGGGACAGGGGACAAGGGGAGGGAGAGGGGTCTGGGACTGACATGTAAAACAAGCTTATTTCAAATTTAAATTTAAAAAAGAAAAAGAAAAAAATAGCTGTGCTAACTAAAGAGAAGGGTCACCAAACTTAAAAGATGATAGCATAAAAGTACTGAGGAGAATTTTAAAAATCCATTAGCTGGGCTACATAAACAGAAGGGTCACCAAATTTAAAGATAGCATGAAAATACTGAGGAAAATATTAAAACAAAACCAAAAAAAAAAAAAAAAAAAAAAAAAGCCTTTTGCTGTTCTAACTAGAGAGAAGGATCACCAAACTTAATAGGTATGATACCAAAATTCTGTGACATGTTTGTGAATACAACCTAAAAATTCTGGAATTTAAGCCATATGTACAGAAACACACACACACACACACACACACACACACACACACCCTGAATAGCTACAAACTAAAGGATTCAAGACTGCTGACCAGTGACTTCAACAATGCTACAAGAATCAAACAAAATGCATCACCCACTAGAATACAGGGCCGTCATTTTCATCCAAGTTCTAGCTGTCACTACTATTAACCTTCACAGCCACCATTCACTATCATCTGACTGATGACTCTGGTCTGCCTTGTGACAGGTATCAACACTTAAACTGGTAATTCCCACCCTTTACAACTCACCCCCAGTTGTAATCACTGGGATGTACCCAATTAACACTAAGCTTCATCCTATGCTTTAATCTTTCTTGTATGTTTCCTAAAGAAAAAGTACAACGAGTTTTGAAGATTCTTGTTAATATCTGTGTTCACAATCAGATAACTCATAACTTCCTAAAAAAGAGGTTTGATACAAACTATCAGACATGGCATGCAAATTGATCAAAATGGCCGAGAAAAACAACGAAGGTAAAGGATGGCACAAAGAAATGTAAGTTAGATACACCTGGCTTGCCTACTAATCAAAATAGTCAAAATAACAGTTAAAACTGTGGGGCTGGAGCAATGGCTCAGATGTTAAGAGCACTGGCTGTTCTTCTGAGGTCCTGTGTTCAATTCCCAGAAACCACATGGTGGCTCACAACCATCTGTAATGTGTTCCGGTGCCACCTCCTAGTATGTAGTGCAGGCACACATGCAGGGAGAACACTTTATACAGAATAAATAAATAAATCTTAAAAAAAAAAAAAACCAAAAACCAGTTAAAACTGTAATAGCAGTTGTCATTCACTGGGCTCCTTCCAGAGCAACAGCAGTTCTCAACCTGTGGGTACAACTCCTTTGGGGGTCATATATCAGATATCCAGTATACCAGATAGTTATATTACAATTCAGAACAGCAGCAAAGCTACAGTTATGGCGTAGTAATGAAAACAATTTTATGATTGGGGGTCACCACAACATGAGGAATGCATTAAAGAGTCACACCATTAGGAAGGTTGAGAATCACTGCTAGAAGATTTAATCCAATTAATCAATGGATTACTATATAGACACAAATTGCTTAGGGAATAAAGATTTCAAATAAGACATAATGTTTTGTTGATTGGTTATTGACGGTTCTGCTATGCAGCTCAGCCTGACCTCAAACTCAGTACTCTCCTGCCTCAGCTTCCCATGCATGGTAGAACTATCAGAACAGGAAAAGAGAAATTACTCAAATCACCAAGTCAGGAAACTGAGAAGACAGGGTAACAGGAGACACCAAATGGCTAAAGGTGAGTTTGTTCTCAGCCCGACCAACCTGCTCTTACTTACACGGCAGTAGGCCGCAGCCTGAGACAGAGTAGTAAGTAGCAAGTTGTATAACAGGAAGGGAGCAAGATACAAACCCTGCTTATGGTACAGGCCAGAGGAACATGAACTTAAAAGGTTTCCTAGAAGGCATGTAACTTAAGTCAGTTTGCTTTTCTCTGTGCTTTTATTTTTAAATTTTCAAAGATATACTTGATCAAAATTTTAAAACAATAATTTCAATTCCAAAAACAAGCACAATGCCAGGAAACACATTAGACCTCAAAAGTCACTGCTATGCACATAAGCAACAACAAAAGCACAAGCTCTATTGTCAACTTGCTGAACAATCATTCAGTTCTATTTTCTTCTGTTCTGAGACCCTCATACATGAATACTGTATTTGTATCATTTCCTCCACACCCACCCCCCTCTCCAACTCCCGTGTCCCTCCCCTGCTCCCTCTCAAGTTCGTGACCTCTTCCTCTGTTAATTATTACTTCACATATTCACGTTTCTTCTCTATAGCAGACTTGACATACATGAAGTCAGTCAAAGTGAAGAAACTTCTAATAGAGGAACTTACCTACCTACTCCTCTGAGGAAGATTACTACTGAAATGGCTGTAATCTATAGTACATAAATAAGTCACATGGATGCCAGTTTAAACCAGAACACTCCAAAGCTGTGTGTGAGTGCTTGTTCATCTGTAACTCATGTGAGCACCATCATGACCTGCTTCTCCACACGGATTCCACTGATTTTAGTCACACTTCTAAGCCACAGAAACAGGAAATTCAGTGATCATGAACTGAATTTAGCTTTCATATTTATAAATGTTAAAGCTGTAATAAAGTTTTATATCCACATGCATACACGGATTCATTCTCATGAATATAAACATAGGAAAAGTCATTTCAAGGGCATTAAGCCAAACATACATGACAAAGTCAACTGAATAAACCAGTATCAATGAAATCTACACTAACACCAGACACAAAATACAAGGTATGGACTTTTTGGGTCAAGATTAAAATTGCTAAATCTGTCAGGCAGTGGTGGCACATGCCTTGAATCCTAGCACTCAAGAGGCAGAGGCGAGTAGATCTCTGTGACTTCAAGACCAGCCTGGTCTACAAAGTGAGTTCCAGGATAGCCAGGGCTGCTGCACAGAGAAATCTTGTCTCAAAAAAACTAAAAAGGAAGGAAAGAAAGAAGGCAGGGAGGGAAGGAGGGAGGAAAGGTGGGAGGGAAAGAGGAAAGGAGGGAAGAAGGGAGAGAAGGAGGAAGGAAGGAAGGATGAACTGTACTTTTAATTGTACTTATTGGTACAAGAAAGAAATTCTTGAATCAACTGCCTACTCTGTTAATATTTTAAAATCATGAAAATAGATGTTTAAAAGTTTGTCACATGTTTCTACTCCAGGTCTTATTTGATCATTTTAAATACCACATGGAGTGATGCTAGCCCTGGAATGATTGTATGACACTCCTGTAACTGGGGTATGGTTATTTTCAACTGTTCTGCCATTCAAGAACCATCTGATTTACATAAACACTACTTAAGAACAATAGACACTCGAAGATACTTAATTAAAATGTCACAGATGATTTAACCCTCTGTCAAAACAGGGATTATTTAAACTTCTGTTCAACTTCCTTTTAAAGAAATCCTATTTTCTTTATTTTCTCCACAGAAAAAAAAAAAATTAGAATAAACGTCCAAGCATTTCACCAATCAAAACTTTAAAATGACTCTGGTTAACCACAAATTGATTCAAGTAGTTATGCACTTTTTCTGAATTTATTTTACCAAGACATGTTTGACAGCATATAGTAATGTCACTTAAAAACTGAATTACTGTTCTACAGAATTACAAATCATTTCACTGATAATTCTTCGACACCCACATTAAGAGGTCACTAGCCTTAGATGTTAGTTTACAACACAGTCATAAAAGCTTCATTAAGTAGTACACTTCACTAAACTCACTTCGTGTGTGTGTGTGTGTGTGTGTGTGTGTGTGTGTGTGTGTGTGACCTAACACTTCAATGTTCACATATCTATTGGACATCTGAGAAACAAAAAAAAAAAAATCAATTATTTTCAAAAATTGAGAAAAGTAACTTCAACTATTTACCAGCTATAAAGGTAATACAGAAAAATTAAAATGAGGAAATATAATCAATGTCGTGAAGTTTAAATAGAATTCCAGCCATCATGTACTGAACTTAGGTGACTAAGTGTACACTGACTCTCAGAAGATAGTTTCTCAGCACCTGAAAAGCCATCACACTCAAGCTGCCTTAGAAAGATGCATGGCTATTCTAACCTCTGTTTTCATACTCAAGGTTTCTTTGTAACAAAATACTAGTCAGATTCTAAAGTGGAACTTTAAAATGGGATTAAGGAATCAATTTTGAATACTTACTGTCTTGTTTCGTAACCTAATGATGTCTGACACGGAGCCAGCACCACAGTATTCCATGACAATCCAGAGGTCTGTGTTCTTGAAGTAACTGCCATAGTACTTTACCACATAAGGGCTGAAGAAAGAAGACACTTGTGTTTAGTTCATTTGCAAAGAAAAATTTTTCTTAACCCTAATATAAAGTATTCTCAACATTTCATGTTTCAATAAATAAATTTAATGAGTTAACTTCTATTTACATTGAATTGTCTGCAGCTATAGTTCAGCAACTGTGTATAATTAAGTTTCACTTCATGGATGAACATTTAACAGGATTACAAGCCAGAGGAGGCCCAAGTGTTTTGAGTGATTCCCAACAAAAATAATGCTTCATTTTGGCTAGGCATTTACTACTTAATATTAGAAATGAATGGAGGTATTTTTCTTTAACAAAAACATTTTAAATGGAACTGCTCTAAAGAATTTTTCATTCAATATTAATGTTCAACTTTAAAATGATGCATATTTCAATGAAGCCAAATGAGATTTTTTTCTTTCATACCATTCTTGAGAAAAAAAAATATTTACACAAACAGTATCAGTCAATATCATTAACAATTCACTGTATTTCTGAACTGACAGTTCAAATCTTCCAGAGATCGATAAGCTGTGTATATACCAATTGTTTACAGAAAACTTAGAGTGAAACAATATTACAATTGTTGATTATTAAAGATATACTATATACAGTGGTATATACAATATCTCATCTGCAAAATATTCCTTTCCACTGTATGAATATGTGATGCTGTGATTGATTGATTTAATAAAGAAGCTGACTGGCCAATAGCTGGACAGGATAAGCTTAGGGGGAGAGCCAGAGAATATTGGGAAGAAGAGCGGAGTCAGCAGAGGAGTATTGAGCAGATGCAGGGAGAAGCAAGATCAACATGCTGTCCATCCTGAAAAGGTACGAAGCCTGTGGAAAAGTATCATGCCACATGGCAAAGTGTAGATAAAAATATGGGTTAACTGAAAATGTAAGAGTTAGCTAGGAACAAGCCTGAGCTATTGGCCATGCATTTATAATTAATATTAAGCCTCTGTGGGAGTGGCTTACAGGGCAGAAACTTCCACCTACACTTTTATCTAAATCAAAAAAGACAGAGTATTCAAAATCACAGAAAACACAAAAGGATTAAAACCACAAAACAGCATAAACTATGTTGCAAATAACTGTTATGTAAATCAAGCTACAAGGCAGACTTGATCACAGTGGGATAATCAGAGAGAATGTAAAAAAAAAAAAAAAAAAAAAAAAAAGATTTAATTTAAGCAAAACTGTTTTGTAAATTATTCCAGAGGCTGGAGCCCTGGCTCAGTGGTTAAGAGAACTGGCTGCTCTTCCAGAGAACCCAGGTTCAATCCCCAACACCCACATGAGGGCTTTAAATCATTTGTGTCTTCAGTTCTATGGGATCTGACAACAACTTCTGGCCTCCACAGGCACCAGGCATAAATACAGTGCAAAGACATTCATGCAAGCAAAGCACCCATATATATGAAATAAAATAAATCTAAAAAGAAGACATATTCTATCCCATGGGTAGCAAAGAAAGAGAAGATGCTTTAAAAAATAAACAAGTATGGGTACAACAACTAGAAAAAAATGCAGTTTGATTAGAGGATGCATCTAGTCATGGCTAGATCAAAGGGTTTGATGTCAGATAAACAAAATATAAGAGAAGTATTATAGGGCCAGAGAGATTAATCAGCAGGTGGAGGCTTTTCTCTCCAAGACTGATGGCCTGCACTCAATCCCCAGGACCCATACAATGGAGACCCAATTCTTGCAAGTTCTCCTCTGACCTCTACATGTGCACATGGAAAACACACTCACAGCCATAGCACACACAAATAAATGCAAATTTTATAACAGGACACAAGAAAGATATCATTAGGGAGGGGCTAGAGAGACAGTTCAGTGGTTAAGAGCACTGAGACCTGAGATCAATTCCCAGCACCCATATGGTGGCTCACAACTGTCTGTAACTCCAGTTCCAGGGGGATCTGACACCCTCACACCAATGCACCTCAAATTAAGTTAAATAAAAATTTTTTAAAGATATCATTGGGGCAGGAGACACAACTTGGTGGTTGGGAGCATTCACAGCTCTTACAGAGGATCCGAACGCAGCTCCAAGGATGTAACCTGTAAACAAAATTTTCTAGCCTCTGAAGGTGCCAGCACTTACATTCACATAACAGAGACTGTTAGGTCTCAAGCCCAGAACAAGTTTTCCTGGATGCTGGGAAGAGAAAGCACTATTGGCTCATGGATGTTTACTTGCTCCATCTAACAAAAGTATTTGTTTCAGAACACATGGAAGCATCAGCACGGAGACTCAGACCTTCAGAACATGGGAAACATGAAAACTGCTTCCATTACCCACTCCTTGATGAATGCCTGTGTGGGCACCTTCAAATCTGGCTGTCTCAAAACCACCTGTGCCCAGGTCCTATGCCTTACAGAACCACCCCTATGCCAGGCCCTACACCTTACACATCTGACAGATTATGATCCCACAAGCTGTCCCAAAGCTCTAGGGTGGGTGATTCTGACGTAGACCCAGACTTGACCACCTATGCTGGCCAGATTTTTGTCACCTTTACACAAGCTAGTCATCTGAAAGGAGGGAACCTTAATTGTGAAAATACCTCCATATGATCAGACTACAGCACATTTTCTTGATTAGTAATCAGTGGAGGAGGGTCCAGCCCATGTGGGTGGTGCCATCCCTGGGCTGGTGGCTGGGTTCTTGAGCAACCCATGAGGAGTAAGTCAGTAAGCAGCACCCTCCACTGCCTCTACATCAGCTCCTGCCTCCAGGTTCCTGCCCTGTTTCACTTCTTGTCCTGAATTCCCTAAGTGATGAACAGTGACACAGAAGTGAAAGCCAAAAAACCCCTTCCTCCCCAAGCTGCTCTGGACATGGTGTTTCATCACAGCAATAGAAACCCTAACTTCAGAAAATAAACTGCATACCCTTTAGAAAGCTCTTTGAATACTACTATTCTCATTCATAATTTAGAATAGTGTTAGCTACAGGATAACCAAGAGCATTTTCACTGGCCGGGAGTGGTGGTGCATGCCCGTAATCCCTGCACTAGGAAGCTGAAGTAGGAAGCTTGGGAGTTCCAGATCAGTCTGGCTTCCATGTTGAGTTTGAGGCCAGCACAATACTGAGACAAAAGACTATGTCCCGTGTAAAGCATATACACGCTGTGTGGCATTATCTTGTCACATATAGTACATGTCAACGATGCCAAGGGTAGGACTGACACCTCTTATGACAATTAGAGGGCCTAAGACATCCACCTGAAAAAGCAGTCAATCCATTTCCCAGGCCTCTCATAAAAGTGAGTCAAAAGAACACTCTGGGAATAAAACTATTTTTAAAATAACAATTCATGGCCCATACTAACACAAAATCAAATAAACCAGGTTTCAACAGCTCTGTATCATAAAACACACTCAAGAAAATTAACCCAAGAAAGTGTCTCAGCAACCAAAGTAGTCACATCAAAGATACACACTCAAGTATATTCTCTATCATTTCTTCAGCACTCACTCGTTTAATCTCAGTCCAGACATCCAGTCTGAGAAGACAATGCTACACAGTACTAAACCAGACAGGATTCTGACTCCTGCAGAGCACATCAACATGAAATGAACAGGTACTAGCAAAGTCTAATTCTCAACAACAGTAAGAACAGTGGGATATTGTTAAATGAACTGAATATTGTTTTATACTTACCATTTCTACAAATAAAATTATTCCTAGCTCAACCCCTACCCCATGCTCACACAGCAATTCTAATGAAACTAAGTAGGTCATATAAAAAGGTGTCAAAGTAGGAAAGGGACATGGCTTGTTGGGGAGAGGTAAGAAGAAGACAATGAGGCTGAAAAATCACCAAAAGTCATTAAAATACATATAATTGTCAAGAAATAAAAAATATCTTTTAAAAGTATTAAGCTACGTGAAGAAGCAGTTCCTATGAAAGAACAAAATACACTCAAATTCCAAGGTAGCCCCCTAAGTAGAGAAACACTAAAGTATTTGTGGGATGAGAATCTGGGAGCTGAGGACCTAAGTTGAAGCCTTCAGAACCACTTGCACAGAGGAATGTTGTTCCAGACAATCTAAATGGGGGTTCCTAGGCCACAGTAACTCAAATAAATTCTCTTCTTCCCTGTGGCCCACCAAAAAATTGTAGACATATGCACATGAGCTGATGCAAACTGCAAACATGCATCACCAACCCTTTAAGCAGGGTTTCCACTGTTTATCCCTCCCTGCTCCAGAAACAGGGTTCAAATGGAATCGATCTGGAAAACAAAGCATGTGAGAAACTGCTATGGGACACTGCACAGAGCAGCTGAAAATGACCTCTCTGCACGCCTCTCCTTTGTCATCAAACCTCACTCATCCTTTAGCATGGGTGTGGTCTCCCTGGGGAAGCCTTGTGGTAATTTCCTTTACTAGCACACTAGAGCTCTTAGCAGACTATACTGAAACAGCCTGGCTATTCACTTGCCTCCTCTGTCTGACCAAAGTCCCTGTAAATCCCTGGGGGTCCCCATTATATCTCATGAACAGCACCTGAGAGGCATACTCACAAACAGGCACTAAAAATATATTAGGTAAATGGTTAAGTAAGTGAATTGTGTTGTTCCTGCTTCATAACATTTTTCTTTGTTTACATGCAGAGCAAAAGTCTGTCAACTGTAGAACCTTACACTCACATTATCTAGACACAGAATTCACCAGGATTGCTGTCCAGCTCTTGTCTCTACTCCTAGGAAAATCCTGTCACCCTCAACTGCTCAGAAATTTCTATAGGCATTGTTTTCTTCAATGCTGGGCCTGGAGTCAGTAAATATGGGTTCTCATCCTGGTTCTGAGGTAACTGTGTGACCTAAGACAATTCATGTAAAATCTCCAGGTCTCTTGTACACATGAAGTTGTCATTATGCATGGTTTAGTACCAGACGCTAATATAAAATTTAACATTAAGACCTAGTATAATAAAAGAGAAAAATCAGTGATAATGTTTTTAATTCTGAGACTTTTTTCAGTATTTGAAAACTAGACTGGCTCCTAAAAGCACCTTTTTAGAACCTATAAGAAGAAAAACACTAAAGAGAGTCTACATTCTGTAGGTTATAAATTCAACAGACATGTGTTATTATGCAAGTCACTGGAATAGAAAGGGATGATTCCACAATCAATGAAGCAGGCTCCCTGAACACATTCTCAGGACATGTCTAACACTCACTAGAAGTTCAAAACATTCCATATGACTCTTACAAGTTCAGAAAGCAAGATAATTTGCCAACTGCACAGTTCTTGAATAAACTAAGAAAATATTTAGATTCCAGAAAAGTACTCATCTCATTTTGTCAGATGCATACAGAACCTTCTTCATCAACTACACTTACCTCTCCAGTCCCATTTCCCACCAATCCCTGGCTCATGCTTTCCACTACAGTAGTTCTAAACACTGTCGGACGAGCCCAAGCCAGGGAACTGTTTTTTCACCTCCCTATATAATACTTAACTCTTTTATCCCTCCATTTCTCTACCAAGTTAACTCTTCCTCAGCATCCCGGACTTCGATCACTGCAGCTGAGAAAGGAATTCTGCCTCCTTGTTCTCATTATCACTCCAGGGGCCTGAGACCAGTCCACACTCTAACTACACTCAGGCAGAGCTCTTCCTTCATGTTTGTGTCCTCCCAACTAGACCTTAGCCCCTTGGAAGGAAAACAAATCTTAGTTTTCTTAGTATTTCTAGGTCCTGACACAGTACTTGTCCAGTAGAAAACGGTTCATAAGTGCTTGTTGGATGAGTCAGATTCACAAAAACAATTAATTATATGCCAGACATGGCAGAACATGTCTATCATTCCCTAACTCAGAAGCCTGAAGCAGAAGGATCCCAAATTTGAGGCCAGTCTAGGCTACAGGGGAGTTCAAGGCCAGCCTTAGGCTATATAGGATACCCTGCACTGAAAAACAAGAACAAAAAATGTAATACAGAATTAAAATGAGCCATTTAACATCAAAAATGTAATATCCATCCATAAATTTTCCTGAAGAAAGGCTGGTTATTTTATTTCCTACATTCATTCCTTTTTGTCATCTCTGTCTCTTAGCAAACAGCTTTAAGGCCAAAAGACAACTGGACACAGCTGTTCTCAAGTTCTGTAGGATTGGTCTTGCTTCCAATGTGAAGTCATAAAAAAAAACAACTTACAAAGGTAACAAAACATATTTTATAACTAATGAAAGTCATCAAAATGACACAAAGAAATAAAATGGTTTCATACCTGTCACATTGCTGCATTATGGAAATTTCTTTAATTATTTCCTGAAGATCTGATTCAACAGGTACTTGCTTAATTGCAACAACTTGTCCAGATTCCTTATGTATTGCCTTAAAAACGCTTCCATAAGACCTTAAAAAAGAGAGCCAAGACATTATTTTTTTCATATCAAGCACTATGTTAAGGACTACTTTCACTTTTACATATATTTGCATATTGTATTTTCTAGCTTGAATCATCATGTACATGATCAAAAACAAAAGTAAAGGAATAATAAGTTAATGAAGCAGCTTTAGTGCTCAAATTACAAACTTAAAAGTATCATGTAAAAATAATGAATTGCTATTTTCTTATGGGAGGGAGCAAGAAATGTAGGAGAGGGAAGGAGGAAAGTAGACTAACTTACGGTTTGTCAACTCAAATGCAGCTTAAGGAGATAGAAAAGGAAATCACAAGTGTGAAAATCAGGTTAAAAACATCCAAGTCCAAGTCCCAGGTTAAGAGAAAAGGCTGAATCAAGCATAAGTTCCAGAATGTCTTTCCCTGTGAACCTTCTTTCTCTCCTTTTTAGATTCTTTTGACACAGGGTCTCATGTAGCCCAGGTTGGCCTTTGACATACTACATAGCCAAGAGTGGGATTACAGATATGCACTACAACACCCAAATACTGTGGACCATTCAACGTGAACATAAGAAAGGAGAGAACCCTCAGTCAAAGTCCCCTCAAAAGCCTCTTTGAGTAGGTCTCTTCAAGAGAAAGACCACATAGCACAGTTATTCACAAAAGGAGACAAAGGACTTAATGTCTACTCCAGCTCAACTAAACATTCATGTACTTTACAGAGCAGACACAATGAAGAAGTCATCTGTGATTTAATGTGAACTCCAAACCAAGGTTTAAAACTACTGAGTTCAAACAATGCACCAGGCACTATGGCAGAGTTTTACAACCATCATCAAACTTCTTCCTCTCAATTATAAGAAAAATGTAACTCTCATCACTGAAAGATGAGGATACAGGCTCAGTAACTGACAAGTCCAGGCTTCTTCTGATTCCAAAGACCATGCATGGTCTTCTCACTGCACTGCTTCCACAGAGACACAAGACATAAAATATTCCCTGTGTTTCCTAATATTATAAACTATACAAAAGTCACTCCCAAGTTTACAATTTTCAAAATAAGTAGCAGTATCACAAGCAGACAAGAAGATGCTTAACCCAGCGAATCCATACATCCTGCTGCGTGGGCTCTTGGAAGCAATTTTCTTCAGCATGACAACCTTTCTTTGGGGAAAGGCTGTCATACCTTTCCTCAAAAGCTAGGGTAGGATTCAGTGCTATGTTATCTAAGACGAATTATGCAACACCATCCCTCCTCTCCATGGATATCTCTGGCACATAACAGAAATTTAGAGCTCTATTTCCCAGAATCCCTTCCTGAGTAGTTTCCAGTTAGCTTTGCCAAAACAGCCACAAAATCTGAATGCAAGAAGATTCATAGAGACTATACTCCAGGGTCTTAGAGAGCAGCTGAGGCTAGGTAATGTGTGGCAGGGTACGAGTCCACACAAGGAAACACTTGGAATACTGGAGATGTGCTAACTATGTGACATCTATCAAGCCAAGCTGTGTGTATGCACGTATGACATGGAGCTGTCTAGAGAGGGCTGTGCCAAGGGCTGTACCCTCTGACTATGAGCAAAGTAACCCTTTCTTTCGTAAAAGAATTTATCACAACCACTAGAAAAGCAACTAAGAAAGCCTTCTATTATATTTAATCAATATTTAATTACCTTCCTGTCTTCTCTGTGTTAACAGAACTAAATTTTAACTTCTTTTTTTTAATTTTATATAACCAAGTCCATTTAAATGAAAACAAACATTAATAGACAATATTTGGGAATTTGGGCGTTGTAAGTCTTTCCAAACTACTTCCTGCTGGTAAGGGGCACTGTCATGGGGGATTCGAAGAAGATTTTAACTTCTTTGAGAAGTTAATTTAGGAGATAATTTGTATCTCCTAAAACATCCTTAGTGGCAATCATGGTGCCTGCATGGGTCTGCCAAATATACTATGGTTGTTGGCTAGATGTTTTGGAAAGACTCCTAACAGTATGAGTGGGGTTGTCGCTGACTCTTTTACCTGCTCTTAGGACCCTTTTTCTTCCTACTGGATTACCTCATCCAGCCTTGGCATAAGGGTTTGTGCCTAGTTTTCTATCTTGTTATGTGGTGTTTGGTTGATATCCCTGCTCTTCCTTGAACGGAAACAGAGGAAGAGTAGATAGGGGTGGGAATAAGGTAATACTGGGAGGAGTGGAGGGAGTAGAAACAGTGGTTGGGAAATATTGAAAAAAAAAATGTTTTTAATCTATCTTAGAATTTGTCAATGTTCTTTCTGCCTTTGAACATAAACCAAAAAGGAAGACTGCAAGGTATACATGTATGTGCCTAAGCAGACATAAATACAAATAGATGCTTTATATGACTATTGTAAGACTATTATATACATAGTCAAGTCTACTAAAACATGTAATTCCTGTCTATGTTTTATATCTGTTCAATTCTAAATGGCAAATAAAAACACATATCCATTTTTATTAGAATCCACTGACTCTGCAAATAATTTTCCATCATAGTTTTGTTACCATACTTAGTGACAAAAAATGTTCTGACATAATTTTTGTTTCCGATCCTTATCTAATGTACTTCTTTTCCAGTTGGGATCATTTAACTTTAATTCACCTGATATAAAAACTGTCTGTTCTGTTTTCTTTTTAGTTTGACTCCTATGTTTAACTCTCTGATAATGATTTTTCAAGAGGAAACATCCCTACACCCAATGTTTTGTTTCATATGGGTCTTATAAGCAGCACAGCTAATTTACTTTTAATTTTCTCTGAAGAATTCATCTTTTAATGTGACAACTGACATACAGTGAGGAATATAGTTCATTTTACTCCTCCCAACTTATGTTTGCAATGTTATGCAATATAACTTACAAATTTAATTATTTTATACTTATCTGCCTTTTTCTATGATCAAATGATATACATTCCTCTAGTATTATTTTAATGCTGTTAACAATTCTTCTGCCTATACATACTGATTTCCTCCAGCTTCTACTGGCCTTTTCCCAAATGAAATAAGGTGCCAAAACAGCCACTAGCCTATTAAAGCCAAAATTGTGATGTTTATTAATGAGAACACAGCATAAGATGAACAAACTTCTTACCCATCACTTTACACCACATTTCTTGTTTCACACACACACACACACAAATGCACATACATACACATATACACACACACATATACACCACACATACACAAACACACACATACATTCATACACATACATTCATATACATACACACATACACACCACACATACACACACAAACACACACACATACATTCATACACACATACACCACATATACACACACACATAAATACATACACACACACATACATACACACATATACACACATACATACCACACATACACATATGCATCAACACACACCAACACACATACATACACACATACAGATTATTCAGAAGTTACTTCTCTAAAGACATACTATGTCATTCATAATCTGATCTTTAGAACTTGACATGAATTGCCAAATTTAATTGGTATTAGTAGTATTCAACTCCAGTTAACATATTCCAGTTGAAAGACTAGACAATGCTGTCATTATTTAAAAGGTACTTTCATACTTTTTGTACTCACCCTTCTCCAAGCTTCTCCAATACATCAAAAACTTCTTCAGGCTGCTTAGTCAAACTGTCTTCACTCAGCTTTTTTAGCTTACTGGTAAAATTTAAAAAAGAAATGAAAGAAAATACTTTCCTTAAAAACTTTTACAAAAAAAGTGAAATAAGCAATAAAATCAGATGTTTCAAACTCAAACTATGAAAGGTATAGAGCAAACAGTCTCCTTCCAAATAATGTGTGTGCCTAGGCAACACACCCTAATACAAACCTCTCCTATTAGTTTTCGAAAGACTATTATTATTCAAATATGAATATATATTCATTTTCCCTCATTCAAGCATTACAAGGTACCATTTCATACATACTCTACTTCATGAATGCTCTTGGGTCCTTTATAGCTTTCACTCAACAATATATAGTCATGAATCACTTAATAAAGGAGATAGATTCCAAGACATATTTTAGGTAATTCCATCATAATAAGAACATTGTGGCATGTACTTCAACAAACCAAGATAGCATAGCCTATTACATGGGTAGTATATACCAACTTATACTACTACGTCCATGATGGATACAACACAGGAAAATTAGGAAATTGGAAAACACGGTAGAAGACAAACATGGCTGACATTTTTTATAGTAAACATTTTTACAAGTAGAAATGTACTCATAAATAATTATTAAAACTACAGTACAGTTTATACATAAATGAACAGCACAGTCACTTATCATGGTCAAGTAGTATATACTTTTATAGGTTTGGAGCACACTGGCTTGTTACCAGTACCACCATAACATGTGTTGTACTCAAAGAACACAGTGGCTATCCTATCAATATAAATGAAAGAAAATTTTCAGCACCATTATAATCTTATGGGGCCACTGTCATGCATAATTCATCATTGACCAAAATATTATTTATGCACTGTACTCCCCTTATAAGCATATCTATCACTGTAAATATAAATATAATCAATTCTAATATGACTAGCATAAGATCACTATGACTAAAATTGTTGTTCCACTATGATATACTTTGTTACCCAGATATATGTATATATGTATATACATGTGTATATATGTACACATAGAAAGAGACAAACAATAATCTCATCACTTTACTTACAAAGAAACAAAAGTATAGAATTCTGCCTACTACCATTTTGCTACATGAACATGGCATCAAATTGTCTTCTAAATATCTTTAAACCCATAGATTGCTGCAGTTCTTAGCCTTCATCAGAGAACTTCTCTTTGCAATGGACAGTGGTTAATATAGAGAAAATAGTTGTTTTAGTTTGGGTTCTATTGCTGCAACAAAACACCATAACCAAAGAGCAAATTGGGGAGAGAGGGGTTCATTAGGCTTAAACTTCAACATTGCTGTTCAGCACGGAAGGAAGAGACAGGAACTCAAACAGGGCAGGAACCTGGAGACAGGAGCTGATGGAAGGGAGCTGCTTACTGGCTTGCTTTCTTATAGAACCTAGGACTACCATCTCAGAGATGGCACCCTCTCCCATTGATCACTAAATGAGAAAATGCCTTACAACTGGATATCAATGAGTTATTTCCTCAACTGAGGCTCCTTCCTCTCTAATGATGTTAGCTGGTGACAAGTTCACACACACACACACACACACACACACACACACACACACCAAGGCTCAGAGAATCTCCCAAATCTCTCAGAAGACAGTCATGGGGGGGGTGGAGAATGAGCCAAAGTATGAGGAAGAGTCAGTGTTGTGAAACAGTACAGGACCTTGTGAGCTGATACGGCTGATGCACTGATGAACTCATGGTACCTATGGTTACCTGTACAAGATCATGCTATCAACATTTCATCATGAAAGGGGAAAGGGTTCATGAGCTCCCCCGCTCCCCGCCACTTCCCTGATACTTGACAGTGTCTGGGGGAAGGAGTATCCTTTCTTCCATGAGGTAGCCACATCATGATAAGCTGTCTATGCTCCAGGACTCAACCCTCTATCCACGTTCATGAAGACAACCCTATTTAGTGAGATGGACAGGCAGACAGACAGACAGATACATAGTAGAAGGAATACTTGTTGGTAAAAAGGGTTTCAGTAGGAGGAAGGGGGTGCGGCAGTTAATAGGGGTAAAAAGAACTAAAATTCATTATATACACGTGTGAAACTGTCAAAGAATGAAAGTAAAGTTTTAAAAAATAAAAACAAAGATGAGGAGGAGCTACCTCCAAAGTAACACAAAGAAGGAGAACATTGGAAATAACAAAAGACAGACTCTAGGACCCTGAAAACACAGAGGTGAGGAGACAGCTACAAAGAACACAGAAAAAGAAGGGCTGTGTCCTCGTGCAAGTAAAGAGCTTCTGAATGTAAATATCATATGTTTAGTGCTACGTTCCCTCTTTCTTACCAGTGCCAGCAACTCTACTATATCTTGCTGTATCATAAGTTTTGTTTTTCTCTCTCCTTATCTTACCCTACTCAAGCCCCAGCAGCTCCAGCCCCAGGTCCCCTGCAGGGTAAGGAAAATAGAAACTGTCTACAATGCAGGCCATGACATTCTGTGCAGAGACTGGCAAATTTTCACAAGCTTTAGCTGAGTTGGAAGCTATGGAACAACAGGAACTCGAACAACTGCTCACCACAGAAAAACTCCATTTCTTTATCCCTATACTTCAAGGGGCCATCAGGCAGATTTCATTTTGAGAGGGGTCTACTGTTTGGGACTCAGCTATTCTGAGGGCCTGAAACCAAGAACAAAAATAAGGGAGCCTGAGGACATACTACACAATCTCTGACTGTCCATCATGGAGAGAATGGCTGGTCATGGACACACTAAGTACCTCACACAGAAAGAAGCCAAGGCAATGAATGGTACAGTGGGCGGTGTTTCCACTCTGTACCAGAAGTGAACTCCATCTGAGGATACGTGCAGAGACTCTCTCATAGGATGAAATGTTAGTTTATAGACATATATATGATATATTGATTATACTTGCACATATGTATGAGAATAGAAGTATTAGAGCCAGTATTCTATGTTCTAATTTTCAGGTGATTTTAAAAGAACAAACGTAAGATTGAATGTAAGCACCTCATCAGACACTAAGCATGCCAAAGTACTACAGCAACCTTAAAGCATCAAGGAAACAAAAACAAGCTAAAGCTCTAAGCCAAGTAAAACCAGTCCTCAAAACAGCAAAGACAAACACCTCTCCTACCACAGGAGACTGGTGTGGCCAGGGTCTCCAGTTTGGTTCGAGACTGGTGGCAGAAGTTAAGGAGGGTCTCAGATACTGGTTTCAATTTGCTTTATGAAGTCAAAAAGTGAGTCATCTGCTGTAACTCTAGAAGTTAAATTTGGCACTCATGCAACCCTAAGTTTTCTTAATCTGACATCTAAAGGTGCGTGACACTTTGAAGCAAGCAGAATTGAGAATGGTTTAAAGAATAAACAGGATAGCAACCCCACTACTGAGTATATACACAAGAGAGACAAAAGTCAGTACTCTGCATTTCATTCCCTACAACACTATGCTCAATTATCAATAATCAGTATCTGTTAACTGACAAACAGATAAAGGAAAGTTACGTGCACACTTAAGACAATGCCAGTCTGTGAGAAACATGAAATCCTGTCATTTGCAGGAACAAGGATAAAACTGGACACCACTAATAACTGAAAAGCCCAAACGTGAAAAGCATAAAAAAGTTCATCTCAAATACAAACCTAGAAAATATTATAATCCCAGGTCAATGTGCTTTGGGAAACTCTCATACTTTATCAACAACATATTCCCATTGGCAGTGTGCCAAGTGTAACCGTGTTAGAAAGACTTTCAGGCACTCTGTTTCTGAGTTTGGTCTTGGGTCTTGGTTTTGGTTTGTTTTTTGCCCTTTCTTGGGTTTTTTGTTTACTTTGGGTTTTATTTGGTTTGTCTTAGTTAGGGTTTTTATGCTGTTAAGAGACACCATGACCACAGCAACTATTATAAACAAACATTCAATTGGGGGTGGCTTACTTGGGAAACACAGCACATGCAGGCAGACATGGTGTTGGAAAGGTACTTGAGAGTTCTACATCTCGATCCTCAGGTAGCAGAAAGAGACTGTATGCCACATGGGGAAAACTTAAGCATAAGAGAACACCCCCACAATGGCATGCTTCCTCCAACAAAGCCACACCTACTCTGACAAGGCCACACTTCCTATGGGCCAAGCATTCAAACATATGAGTCTATGGAGCTATATCTATTCAAACCACCACAATTTGTTTGTTTGTTTACTTTAGGTATGAGTGTTTCACAGGTGTTATGTATGGGTACTACATGTAAGCTCAATGCCCTCAGAGGCCAAAAGAGGGTGTTAGATCCCTGGAACTCAAGTTATAGGTTGTCATCTGGGTCCTAAAATAAACAAAGAGTAGCAACCCCCCAATGGCAGGCAGGCAACAAACCTGCTTCCCCTTTACCATCTGCAGCAGTCGGGAGAGCAGGCCCTGTACCTCCTCTGGGCAGCACAGTAGAGGTAGCCCTAATGGTCTAGGTGTGAATGTGCTGACCCTGAGGACATGAAATCAGAAGAACTGGTCCTGCCCTGTGCGCCTCACTGCTTAGAGTGAACCAGCCCAGGGAATGCTGGAGAGCTCACTCAGGCGGTAAGGATGGGAAAGAGCTGGTAGGCTGACCAACCCTGCAACTAACTACCCAGGCCCAGAACCAGGGTTATAAGTGGGCCCACCCACACATCCACCCCATCTGTGATCTGCTGCAACATGATGAGAAAGGGCCGGTCCTGCATACCCAAAGCTGCAGAATCTCCACAACACAGGGCAACAACAGGATATCCAAGAGGAGCTCCAGTGAGGACTCAGCATCGATAGTGTAACAGAAACCAGAGGCCTCGAACCAGACCAATGACTCTTCGCAATGAATACTTGCAAATAAAGCTATACCGACAAAAGAAAAGGAAAAATAGTAGCAGGTGCTCATAACCACTGAGCCATCTCTCAAGCCTCGGGTCTTTAAAAGCAGCCAACCTATAAAGGTTTCACAGTCTTTAGTGGTTCTGCTTCCCATTTCCTGGATGGTTCCTAGTGCT